TTTGCAAACAACATCGCACGACGGTTTGAACAGATCGCAGTGATGACAACTGATGTTGAAACCGAGTGGCTGCTGTGGAATGCTGAGTATTTAAACGCTTGGCCTGCTGCCTGGAGGTCAGAAAAGATCTTCTTGGTGGACACGAGAGGTACAACTGGCAGTTAAACAGAAGAAAGAAGCGCTCAAGAAATGGTTTGGAAACAAACAGCCTTCTGCTAGGGTGCAATATGTGGAGATACGCAAGACAGCGGCGAAAGTAGTGGAGAAATCCAAAGATGATTCATGGGAGAAGTTCGGTGAGGAGTTTTAGTCGAATTTCCACACGGCAAACAGGATATTCAATCAGACCATCCGCTCGCTGCGTGGTGGAATGACGGGCAGTCTCAGAGTCTTGAAGGACAGATCTGGACACCCTCTTACCAAGGATGAAAACATTCCTCGGCGAAAATAAGAGTACTTTGAAGAACTCCTCTAACCTCAGCTACCGCAGGAAGACTCGCCTGCAGCTCATCAGGGAATGTATATCACTATCTTTGTAGATGAAATTACACAGGTTGTGAAAAGCTTGAAAAATGGAAAAGTTGCTGGAATTTATGATATCCGTCCTGAAATGCTGAAAGCACTGGGCGAACAAGGCATGTGCTGACTAACACGTGTCTATGAAACTACGATGACTACGGGGGAGACACTAGCGGCCTGGAGAACGGGAGTTGTTGTCCCCTGTGCAAGAAGGGAGACCACAGGGTGTGCACCAATTATAGGGCCATTACGTTATTTAGCCTCACAGGTAAAGTCTACGCAAGCGTTCTAGAAAGAAGGTGCCGCGGAATAACTGACTTCAAGATACAAGATGAGCAGTGTGGCTTCCGGCCCGCTCGAAGCACCTCTGACCATATATTTGCTCTGCGGCAGTGTTGATAAACCGCAGGAGTACGCCCGTCTGATGCACATGTGTTTTGTTGATCTAGAAAATGTTTATGACCTGATCCCATGAGACAGGCTGCGGTCGTGCTTGCGAGCATCCGGGATGGATGGCCTTCTGTTAAGGGCCATCCAACCACTGTATTCTGATACCAGGGGCTGCGTCGGAGCAACTGACGCTAAGACGAAGCCTTTCGGCATTGACACTGCTCTCCGCCGAGGCTGCGTTCTGTCCCCTCTCCTGTTTTTGTTGTACATGGACAGAATAGTCAGGAGCAGCCAAGGCGATGAGTGTATCGGTGTAGGAGATGAGGAGGTGAGTAGATAGTTGTTTGCTGACGACCTTGTTTAATTGACATCTTCTGTAACTGATCTACAGTGCTTCCTGGAACGGTTTGTAGATGAGTGCGAAGTGGCGGAATGTATATTAACTCATCTAAAACGAAAAACCTACTGCTTTCTCGTTCTCCTGCCCGTTGCTCCCTTCAGATTAACAGAAAGGCAGCGAAGCAGGTGGAGAAGTTCAAGTACCTCGGAACTGTATTTACTGATGGAAAATTTGAGAAAGAGATCCACCGGCGAATTAGAGTAGCCATTGGCGCTCTATGTGATCTAGCACGATCCATTGTGACTAAATGGGAGGTGAGTTTGATGACTAAGCGCTTGCTATTGAAGTCGATGTGAATCCCCATGCTGACATACTGTCATTCGTCGTGGACGATGGCTGTAAAGCTTCGATGCCGGATGCAAGCTTCTGACATGGGCTTTCTTCGACGGGTCGCTTTCCTTACGCGTCTCTGCATGGTCCGGAATTCTGA